ACGATGGCTGCGTGGGCGGGAGGGCGGAGTCGATCGCGGTCGCCAGTGGCGATGTGGGTGAGGATGCGGTCGCCGTCACATTGGGAAGAGCGGAGTAGAACTGGGTACGTGTCGCCAGAGGGTGTGGTGGGGGATGCAACGGGCCACGACTGCAGAATCGAACTTGCCGTTCGCGCAGGGTGGAAGAGGAGTATCAAGATGGGAACGAGGTGGAGGCGATAGTGAAGTCGAAACTGTTTGAAGATAGACCGGCTGTAATCGAATGAACCAACTGTGAAAACGATGATCGAATAAACTCTCAAGGCACGAAGTAGTTCTGGATTTCCAATAGTGGTGTGGAATGAATGCAAGTTATATAGTCGACATGAAATTGGAAGGGTTTCGTTTTGATTGGAGTAAATACAGTATAATAATTGGGAGGCTCTAGAGACTGAAGTATAATAATTAACGTTGAAATTTGAGTGGCCGAAGATTATTTCAATTGCCATCAAAATATATTTTGAAACTGAACTCAGATTGGTTTTAATGAATAGATTCGTTATTGAAGTTTGTGAGGAAGTAATATTGTGCCATTATCCGAAATGTTTTGCTTTTGGAAACAGGGATTTTGAAAGAGTAGAAAGTGATGTTGGTGTGTGATACGGGCACAATGGATAGGCGTGCGTTATGTAGATGGCGCAATGTGGAGAAACGAAAACACAATTTTGGACGTGGAAGGTTTCTCAAGAGTGTGAAGAGTCTGAAGCGCTGTGGCAGCTCCTTAGGCGCCAATATAATTGGTGGTAGATCAAGGACGCCCTGGTTACGGCAGCTGCCAGCAACGGCCAAGCCCAAGATGACCAGATGCTGCTCTGGAGATCAAGCTACAGCCGAAATACCCGCCGAGAGGAAGGGACTCCGCAGAGCAGACCAGATATTGACGGGCGACCGCGGCAGGCGGCAATGTGGCGAGCAGTGAATCAACAGAAGAAAGTGGTTGCTGGTCTTGAGAATGGGGGGCATAGGTGGCTCAGTGCATCGACTGATGTCACTGCAATGGCTCTCACCGGGAGGTCTTACGCTTTAATCGCCGTCGGTTGCAGGTTTTTGTCGACCGTAGCTAGAAGGCTAGATCGAATTCAGCCGCTATTTGGAGTAGAGTTCTAGCGGCTGGTCACTTCGAAGGGAAGATTTCTGTGGTTTCTCCAATCAACACCGAGCAATTGCCATAGAAGTACCGAAACAAACGGGCCGCGCGCGATCATTCCTTCCTCTTGACCTTGTCCTATCTTTTCCCCTTACTTACAGACACACAACATGAACTATACTACCACATCTCGGGTAACCAATCGGGAGATTAGAACTTGTCCCGGCTGGGGCGGTGCCTCGCTGGAGGGAGACACCTTGTTGGGAAAAACCACCAAGCCGTACGTCGATGTCAGATCTCGCCATCTGGCGGGGAAAAATCGCCGCCACCTCCCATCACAAAATAATTATGCTATTATATTAACAACGCTTTCCGGATTAATGACCCTAGCGTTATGTGAACGCATTCGATATCACTAATCAATCAATTGTACGACATCTGAAGCAATGAACATTTAAGTCTCAGAGAAGAAGATTATTTCCCGTGGCAACGGTACGATTTGCAGAAATTGAGGCCAAATGAGATAGTTTGAAGTTCCCAATATAAGTCTACGACTCAAACCCCTTCTACCAAAATTAGTTTCTTTCTTCCTTTCGGTTTTGCAGTCCCTGCCGTGTTCCTCGCGAAAAAAAAATGTTCTTAATTCAAAAATTGTCAATATTTATTTGAAATTTCATTTTGAGACAGGGTCATGTGTGATTCCGAGAGAAAGATTGATACGATGATGTTGACGCGGAAAAGATACATAAAGTAGAATTAGAGAAATAACATTAATAGTGAATATTTTGTGGTGCGAGTGGGAATATGATGGCCCGCAGTAAAAGTAAAATATGGAAAATGGAATTTTTGCGTTGGCGGAACCGGAATTGAATGTAGAGACACGGGACCTAGGAGCCAAATAGCGGATTATCTGTATTCAAGTCAGAGTCTGAGAGGGAGGAGGCGGAGAAGACAGAGGAGGCGGACGAGAGGGGGTGGTTGTGGAGAGGCAGGAGGCGGGGAGAAGGAGGAGGTGGAAGAGAGGAAGGAGACGGAGGAATCGGAGGAGAGGGGGGTAGTTGTGGAGAGGGAGCAGGAGAAGGAGAGGAAGGAGGCGGAGGAGAGGGAGGAGGTGGAGGAGAGGGAGAAGGCTGAGAAGACGGAGGAGGCGGAGGAGAGGGAGGAGAGGGTGGGGGTGAATGAGAGGGAGAGCCGGTGGAGAGGGAGGAGGTTGAAGAGAGGGAGGGGCGGAGGAGAGGGACGAAACGGAGGTGAAAGAGGAGGCATAGATAAAATGGGCGACGGAGGTGTGGGGCACAGAGAAGGAGACGCAATGGTGGAAGAAGGGGTGAGGGAAGACGAGATTGCTTAGCAGGCGGAGAATCTGTCGGAGGTGAGGACATAGAGTAATGATATATACTTCCTCAGTGTATAGTAAGACCGGGGGGGGAGGGGTCGAGGAAGTCGGCAGAGGCGGAAGCGGGAGCTGGTTCGCGTCGTAGCCTGCAAAGCGAATGGGGGTGGGGTGCGGGGCGCGAGCGACGAGGATTCGAGGGCGGGTGGCGGGCTGCGTGAAGCGCAGGCGAGGGCGGGGGCAGAGGGTCGGCGGCTGTGGCCGGAGCTTGGAAGTCGCCAGCGCCGTGGTTGCTCTCGGGCAAAGCAGCCGAGACCTCTGGAGTTCCGGCGGGGAGCTCTTCAATAATTAGCGCATCCGCACGCCCATCCGAGTTCTCCGTTGCTCTCGGACAGAGAAGTTGCAGTGAACGTGGAGAGAAATTGGTTCCATGCTGTCCGTAATACGCGGAGTATTATCTCAAATTCTCCTCCCTTCAATGTCATTTTATTTTCTTTCAATTTTCTCTGTTTACTTTATAAATAAACTTTATTAGCGTATTAAAACAGAAATAATTCACACTTTTTGGCCAAAGGCCTCTTTTGGCACAAGAGACTGGCAATTCCCAATCTCTTGTTTATAGTTTTTTTTATCAAAGAACTTCGCATATATTATTTGTAGATACTCATGGTAATTATTAATAATTTTCCTCCTGTGGTTAAGAAAGGAAGTGAAATGGAAAAATGATGATATTGAGTTTTGACGTTAAAAATAAGTTAATATTCAAATTGACACAATGTAATATTTTGGATGTTAGTACTTTCCTATAGTAGTTTAGATCGTAGTTATTTTGTTTCTCATATTGCATCGTGTTGCAAATACACCAATCCTATGCATTTCAATATTTCTGTTGTATTTGTCATATTTTACTCACAACATTGAACAGATTTGCATGTAATCTGTCGTGTTGAATCTCATATTTAGCGATTTTTTCTGAGAGGTAAACGTCATTTAGCATTTTCAGTACAGCTCAAAAAGCAATTCAGCAAGTCTACACCAAATAACTAATTTATTAAAAAGTTTGTCAAATATTAAAATTGGTTAATGAATTATTATTGGAGCCTTAATGTATATCGTGAAGTAACATTTAAACTAAAGAACTACATTGTTACTTTAAATCCAATTCCAAACACCAGTGTGTGTTTGGAACAGTGTCTATTAATGGGCTTGTCTTTTCGAAGGGTATGCAATGAGACGACTACAAAGTTTACGCATTCTGTTTTTTTCCAGCTCGCTGATCAAATTGATGAAGATTGGTTGGACAGTCAGGGAACGCCCACGATGTATTTGCGGAGGTAAGAAAAAAGCTCCCGAAGTTGATTTATTGATCTCTGAGTTGCAAATTCAAGAAAAGTAGAAGGGATTTGGGACTGCGAGGGGGAGCGTCTCCCTTTGTGTTTGTGGTTCCCCTGCTTTCCTTGGTGCGCAGGTTTTTATGCCCTCGCATCTTAGGGGGAAGCAGTGCAGGCCTGACGAATGAAATAGATGATAAATTTTGCTTATGATGTTGAAAGCGAGAAATCATGTTAGTTTAATTCTTTAAACTGTATTTTTCTCTTTGTGGGCTGACAATATTATCGCTCAGTTCACTAATGTCATAGATAACGACACGCGTCTCGTAAGTTCTTTAGGTGTTTGTTGTGTACACAATTCGTCTGATATTGTGTGACTAAGCGTAATGTTATAATTTATTTTACAGTCTTTGAAAACAAAACAAAAGAACCGTTGCTGTTCACCTTGTGTTATCAAGTTCAGATAGGTGCACTTAGTTGAGACCTTCGTCCGTTGCAAAACAACCATATCTTCTTTACTAAGAAATGTCGTACTTCAGAATGTTGCCTATTGTCTTTTTACTTGTTTCATTGTTTAAAGTGTATGCTAATAAATACTGTGGCTTTTTCTCGACAATTTGTCTTATTAATGTTGCACCATGTTTAAAAACTAGGTCACTTTTAGCGAATTAGTGTCACTTTTATCAATAATTTCTTCGTAAACCAATGTGAAATACATGAAAGAACAATGGAAAGAAATATTATGAAATGAAACCGTTAAGTACAATACAACATACATAAAATCACACTGTTTGTTTGTAAAATTTAGGGTATTACCGACATTATTTAATGACTTTATAACAATAGTCAACTGCCATGAAATTTCATGATGAAATTCACTTGGCTTCTATTTAATAGTAAATGACGTTTTTAGACGCTGTTAATGTACTAGCAGTTATGATTTGATATTCCTCGTAGAAATACATTGAGTTTCGACCTTTAAACTTACAGAGAAAAATGTTAAAATTTGTGACTTTACTCTCGGCCGTCAAACCCGCGTCAGTGCTGATAGAGTTATTGGAGAAAGCTCTCACATTTCCCCCACGGGTTGGTGAATTGTATATACCGTTTTAGCAATTTTTGTTCATGGTCACTTTGATGTAGAATATTATCTTACTTCAGGTCACTCCCGCACACTGATTTTTAACCAGCGATGCTGTGATATTAAATTTTGTACTTTGGGATTTATACTTCATTATTGCCGATGCTAAAGGAACTCTACCTCTGGTAACGAAAAGTGTAATATAACCATTTAAAACATTGAAGCAATTAATTAAGTAGCTTATCAAAATTTAATGATTTTTCAAAATATTTGTGATTCAATTTTTATATACATGCAGAATTTATTTTTTAATTTTTAATTTTTCTTATGTTTAATATATACTTGTTGAACCCGTGACAATATTATACATTTTATATATAATTGTTTTAAAAGGCAAAATAGTTTGTTTTTGTATTTCACCTTGCAAGGTATTTGGCATTCCATATTATAAGGTGTAGTTATACTAAAAAAATTGCAATAGAACGTTTAAAATTGTCCATGAGACATTCTTCTTGAAAGCCATGACCAACATACCTAAAATCAGTCTGTTTGTAAAATTTCGAGGATTACGGACATTATTTTGACTTTATAAAAATAGCCTTTTCTCAAGAGCCATGACCTGCCGCGTTATAGACATTTTACCTTTATGGCTGCGCTCGTGCCGAAAGTCGGAATTTTCTACTGTTTATAGTTCCTAAAATTATACGTTAATTACCTAGGCCTATGAAGACAAGCCCCTGAAGAAGGAAAGTTAATTAATTGATTTTCAAATTCTTGCTTATTTATCTTTGATTCGAAAGCTAGTTTATTTCAATGAAGTTTCTTTTTAAATATTTTTATTTATTTTGTTAAATAATGCAAGGTTTTCTTTGATAAAGATAAGATAAATTTATTTGAACTGCAAATGGGCATAACCCGGTGGCAGCGGTGATATTCCTGTACTTTGAAGGTACACCATTCAGCTTTAATGTTGAATAACTTTTCATAGAAAATGAAATGTATTTATGTTTGATTCGATAACTAATTTATTTCAATGAAGTTTATTTTTAAATATTTTTATTTATTTTATTAAATCTTGCAAGGTTTTCTTTGATATTCCTGCACTTTGAAGGTACACCATCCAGCTTTAATGTTGAATAACTTTCCATAGACAATGAAAAACTTTGCCAAAAGTCAGCTGTTCGACAGTGAATTGGAGTTACCACCAACACCAATACTGAACATTCGTTTCCCAATATATAACTGAGAGAGTCGAGTACGAAAAAAGTAAAATATCGTCTGAAAAATAATGTTTTTCGGAAGAATAGTTTATATCTTGAGATTGAGATTAGTGGAACCAGTAATGGCGAACTGTTACTTTCCAGAATTGATACATAAATAATTATTTCGGCAATTATTTTACCAATATAGTGTTGGCAAGGATACTACAATATTACTGACTGCTTATATCCGCACCAATATAACCAGTATCGAAAGAAGCAACACCACCAGTGCAACACTGACAATTTCTTCAAAGAATAAAATAACTGTTTAAATGATTCCTCTCCCATGAAACCTCATTCAACCTACGCCAAACACAATATGATATATGATACATGTTAACCTTAAACAAATACAAATTCTGCACGAGCCCAATAGGGTTAACAGCAAATGTAAAGTACGAGTAATACAATAAATGTCGTAACTGTTTGTATTTTCATACCGTGAAACCTTCTCGTAAAACTCCTCAAGGCTGATGAGAATAAAAATGGTACATTGAAAGGGAAAACTGACGGTTTTCTTTGTGCCACCGGAGCTGCTCGTAGCGTTGTAACCCACGTATGTTTTTTTCCTTTTTGGGGGAACTAGGGTTCGAATCTTGGTCGTCCCGTGTAGAATGAGTGGTGGGACTAAGCGGGGTTGGTGGGAGGTTTTTTGGAATTTTCGGTTTTCTCATTCTAGTTATTCCACCTTCGTTCCCCAATTTATCTTATCACACACTTTTTCAAATCATTTACTCTCCTGCAAAAGCACAAGGTTCGGAATCAGGTAAAATAAATATGGCATTTTAATTTATCCTATTATTATTACTATCCTTGTATTAATTTGCCATTTCAAATAACAGCGTTCGCGAAAAGTACTGTAAGTAAACAATATACCTGTACTAAATAAGTGCTACGAGTGTTGCATTAAAGCTTCCTACAGGGGCATAAGTGGTTATGAATGTCAATGGCATCGTTGCTTTATTCAAGAAGAAATATCCGAAATCGATAGATTCATTTTTACAGATAAACAGACTCTTCTGACATGTCTACTTCTCCAGTTGTGAAGAACGAGCTTGCACTGTTTTGTTTAGAGACTATCGAACAGATATTGCCTTTTTAGGCAAGTATTATTGCTTTTATTCCAGTCTGATAATTTCATCAGCAGGCAGAATTTGGGAACTCTACGACCTGGATAACTGAACTTCTACTCGATAGTAGAATGGGAATGCATTGAATTTCTAGAATGTACGAGCGGTAGTAGACAGCTGTGCAAAAATATTTGTTTCACATATTAAAACTAGGTTTTTCTACTTTAATATTAATGGAATTGTTGAGAAAACAAGAGTACGAGTGTAAAGGTATTTTCAACGTAACGTTTCAAGGTACGTTTCAATTCCAGTTCTAATTCGGGGTTTTGTAGGGTCGTTTGTAATAAATTATAACATTTTTTCGGTTTTATAGGTTTCAAATCTGCTGAGAACAAGCAAGTTTGTTTGTGAATTGGGTTTTTGTACTGTTCAGCTTTAATTAGGTGGGCTGGTGTCGAGAGTGATGGCGTGATGTTTCTACCGCAGATTTTCACGAGGAAGTTTGGATTAAGTTGGAACTTTCGTTTGACGTACGAGAAACAGTAGTGTGGGCATTGCAAACACAGTTTATTATCGTTGGGAACCCCTGTTTGTTGCATTTGAAAGCGGTTGGGATTTAAAACCCAATTTTTAGGGAATTTCGGAGCCAATTTGTTGGGGCTTGGCGGCTTTTAGCGATTGCGTTTTGGGAGACCCTGCTTTCAAGAATTAGTAGCTCTCCCCCCGCTTGTAAATCAGCGGCCTCTGTTTTTACTCTATAGATGTGTTCCATTTCCCCTGCCATTTCGCCAATGCAAGATAAACGAAAGAGAGCAGACATATAGTTAATGATGCGTTACGCAACCTGTGGAAGCGCCTAGATACGAAATTGCTTCCGTCCACCGAGAAATAGTGGTCGTTAAGGGTAATGAAAACAATTCTCTGACGACTCAGGCGGAAGACGTAACAAACATTTAGATGTAATAATCAGTTTTGTAAATTACTTCACAATTAACTATTTTCTAGAAAACTGATGTTTATTTTCTCAGAAAATCGTCGATAATAAAACATGATTAATATTCAAAGAAACATTTTTTGTAAGAACCATTATATCCTTTTCCGGTGTCTCTGAAAAGGATTTTGAAAGGATATCCGACCTTGACGGTAGCAATTCAAATGCATAAACCTGCAATAACATTTGAATTTGCTGCTGTTTATTTTTGGAACACTTTTTAATTAGTGCGTAATGCCGAGTGGTAATGAAAGTATATAAACATGTCAACATGTAACCGTGTTGAAAGCAGAAGAAAAAATCAGCACGCATACTATGTTGAAGAATGAAGACGAGAATGGTTCGTCTAAGTGGTTAGCGACGACGAACCGATAGTGGGAGCTTTCACGTAGCCAGACATTGCTCACCTTAATAATAATAATAATAATAATAATAATAATAATAATAATAATAATAATAATAATAATAATAATGTCTTTATTAATGGCGAGGCTCAGGTCACAGGGCCTGCTCGTCCGCCTAACCACTTAACCACCTTGACGCCCTTCATTGCCTCTAATGTACGTAAAACATCTGCTTTTTGGGTTAGGGTTCTGTCTTCACTTCAGGTGGGGGAGATTCGCGCGTTGCGCATGGTAGGCGGCCGCATCTCCCCAACCCTCCACCAGGCCGCTACACTTCCAACAGATACGTCTAAGGGATCCTAGGTATTACTCCCTAATTTCCCGAGGAACACGCAAAACGCTCCAATACGGCGCTGCACTCGAGAGCGGTTCTCCGCGGCAGCGGCCGGTCGGCGACCAGCGAGGTGCATGGAGCCAGTTTTATCCCAAAGGGCGCTGAGCGCGTCGCCATCACGTTCCGTGCGCTACCGCCTCGAGAGTCGGCGAGACTTTGCGAGCAACCCGACGCGGTGGCCGGCGAGTGGAGTTGGCGTGGACACCGTCACCGCCCTCGAATAACTCTATCGAAGGCGAATGCGTCATGCGAATGCGAAGGCAGACATGTAAGAGTTGTCGGTGCCGTGGCGGGAACATGCAACAGGGTTTAATGACGATAATGTAAATGTAGTGTAGTGGTAATTCATGTAGTTCGAGATGAGTGTAAGTGCGAATAGGAGATTGAATTGACATGTGAAAGTATTATTATTATTATTATTATTATTATTATTATTATTATTATTATT